TGGTGTGTGTGTGTGTGTGTGTGTGTGTGTGTGTGTGTGTGTGTGTGTGTGTGTGTGTGTGTCACAGGGAATATTGTCAGGTAAATGTAATGACTTGAGCCAAAACTGCATTTAGATTTTTCTTTATTTCAAATTCTCGTCTGTGATTGGTCGCTTCGCCTACATAGGAGCTTTTTATTGTGCAGCAGCAACAACAGCAAAGTCTTAAATATAAAGTTTACAATAAGAAGTGTACATGTATAAACTGACGGTGAGAATTTAAACTAGTCTAAGATTTAGAGATTTGAGAGGGAGTTGTTTTAAGTTTGAAATGAAAATGTTCCTTTTTAAGCTTAATTTTACAGATGATTAAAAATATTCAGTGTGAGCTGACGGTGCCGGCTGAGATTCGTGCCCCATGCTTGTTCCATTTCAGATTCAGGTCGTGAGATTCTTGTTCTCATTTGTCGTGTTAAAGGGAGTCTTTACTGCTGTTATTTAGTGCAGGTTGGTTTCATAGGGTTCAGCCTGGGCTTGTTCTTCTCCTTAAAACTCTCTCTTTGAGGAGAAGAACACAGACGAGCAGCTGGAAGATGAAACTGTTTAACTTTTGCCATCGCAGTCGATTTGAATCAAACACTGGATGTGACTGAAGGGCCAACTTAGAGCTTTAATTCAGGTTTTCACACCAGTTCTGTGTTAACTGTTTATGAATTACACCCATTTTCCCCACAGTGGCCCACTCTGTAGATGATGATGATGATGATTCATCTGTAAACTGTTTGCATTTCCATTTGTGAAGGCGTGGCGTGATTGTTGACCTTCACAGTTATACCTCTGCCTCCTCGTCGTGTTCTCGGTTTGTTAGATCTTGTGAAGCATGGAAATACCTCTGTGATCATCCACTGTATTTGTCTCGCAGACACTTTGGTGCTGCTGACGTGCTCGGCGCTTTCCTTCTTTTTAAAGAAAGATCCAGATTGTTTATTTGGCCAGTCCTAAAGGTTTATTTTTCTCTCTTCCTTTTAGCCTCGCTCGCTTCCTTGATGGAATAGTTCTGTGTATTTCATCTGCTCATGTTGTCATGGAAGGAGCTGTCTCATGGTGGTTGACTGTGTGTGTAAATGGCTGTAATTCCTAATCAGTTAATGCAATACTTGAGTCACACTGAAAAGGAGGAGCTGGGACGGAGGCGGGTTGCAAAGTGGCCGTCAGTTATTTTTTTTCTGTTTCCTGTAAAAGTACTCAGTATTTACTGTAAATTCCAGCATTTAAGAATAGCTTTGTTAATTTTGGAAAGTTTCAAACTAAGACATTTGTACACCCAGAAGATCTGCACTCAGCTTTTTTTACTTTTAGCGAATAAAAACATGTGAGACTGAACTGAGGTGACATGAGAGGAAACTAGGAGAGGTTTAGGAAGGATGGGTGTTCTCGTGTATGAGGCACCAAACTGTAGCTGAAGCACCTGGAAAGCGACTCCTCTCACTCGGCACCAATTCCCAGAATGAAATGATCACGATAGACGAGGGGGAAGAGAAAATGCAGAGGAATGAATCGCCACCACCTTCTTTTGCCCACCACAGCGACTCATCGGCCTCCATCTCCTCCTATCCCAGCGTCGCCCTCTGCATGTCCTCCTTCACTACATCCATGAATCTTCTCTGAGGTCTTCCTCTTTTCCTGCTGCCTGGCAGCTTCATCTTCATCATCCTTTGTCCAATAAGAGAGTCAATGAATGGATGATGATGCTGAACTTGCTCTCAAACTGTTCTCATTTCTTTCTTCAAGTTTCAGCTACTACATTAAACTTCCTGGGTAAATCTGCCTCCTGCTGGTGAAAGGTGTTTGCAGCAGGTCATTTGTTTCCAGTTCTCTCTGTTGGTTTTATAAAGTGCTGCGTGAAACTTGTTCTTCAGTCTCCTGTACCTCCACCTGCACTAAAAACAGCAAAGTCAAAGAATCTCATGTAATCAAGCATAGGTGAAGTTTCTCAGGCTGGCGTTTGTTCCCAGTGACTCCCGTGCACGCATAAATAAAATTCATTTTGCAAAGTTTGAAGCTGTAACTCGGCTCACTGTTTCTTTAAATGTTGTGTAAAGATTTGATTCTCATCACTTTGAGTTTAAAAAATGATTTGTTCACATAAACTGCTTCTGTCACTGCTATTTAAAATGTATATACATCCTGCAAACTTGGTATAGCATCTTACATGCAGGTTAGTGCATGGAAATTACGGAAATAATTAAATATGGAGACAGCGCTGGGGAAGTAAAAATTGAGAACAAGCACAAAATGGATAAAATAAAGTAGTGACAAAAAATAATGCTTGATGAAATGTGTGGTCTTGAGCTCCGATCCTATCAGAGACCTGGAAGTGTGGGTGTAATGGTGGTGACGGAGAGCTACAGAAGATGGAGGTGCAGTACACCGCGCTGGCCTGTAGGGGTCGGTGTGAGCCAGTGTGTTTGTGTAGTACACTGCACTGGCCAGTAGAGGGCAGTGTGACCCGGTGCGCTTCTCCCCTTTAATTTGTCCACATCAGATCCCATAAATGAAACGTTCGTGTACATGAACGCGTTTCTTCTTCTGTAAAAGTTTTACTTGGACAGAATCAGACTCAGGACGCTATAATCGGCGAATCGGCTCGTTTTAGCAGCTTATTTATCGCAATTCGTCTCGCAAGCTTGATAAGCTCGTAGGGCTCCTGGCAGGCTGCTGCTGCTGAGGCTGTTTGGCTTTGACATGCTAAACCCTGGATGACCGAAGGGACTCGTTAATAGCAGGTAAAATCAGTCTTCTTCCAAATCATCACATCTGTTGGCTCAATTCCGTGTTTGGAAACGCTAACGTGTCACTACGCTAAGGCAACAGTAAATCCCCAGAAACGCTAATGCTACAGGCTGTATTTTTGGTTTTAGCTAGGAGGCTAATTTAAAAACTTAAAGTCCCCGTTTACTGACAGACGCACAAAACCGAACAAACAATTGTTAGATAACTATGGATAACTTCAAATATTAATTTATCAGCGAGCAGCATAAAACTCCTCCTTGCACCTGTCATGTGAACGGTACCGTGACACAGTTTATTAGCTGCTTCCAGCGCCACGCCAGACTCCATTCACAAAATGTCAAATTTAAGAGTTACGACTTTAGTTTCATTTTAAGTTACCTTCTTGTTTCATGGATATCTATACCACAAAACAGCAAACAGCAAAATACACATTAAATTGTATTTGTTTATATATAATAGCAAATCGAAGAAGAACATCTAGGTGTTTACTCGAAACAGATGGGTTGATAACCCAATATAAACACAGTAAAAAAAAATCATAATAGAAAGGGAGAGTATGAGTGAACATATGAGATAATAGGACTTAAAAGAGTGGAAGAAAACCCTCAGGCCACCTCTGCTAAGTGTGAAGTGCAAGTGTGCCAGTTTAAAGCTGCATTTCGGAGAAACCTGGAATATAAAATCCAAGTCCTTAGAGATGCGAATCAGTTAAAAAGATAAAACACTCCCGATTTGTCTCCTTGTTTTGTGTTGAAATGATCCTACTTTTCCTTATATTCCTTCATGTCTCCTATTCTAGTGGTGAATATTCATACTAAACATGACCAAAGTTTTACTAAGACCAGTGTGTGCATAAACATCCTACAGCTTGTGAGGGGCAGCCAACCAGAAGGTGGTTGACTTAGAGGGGGCGGAGCTAATACCGCTCATCTTAGACGAAACAACTAAGCATCCACTCAGGAAAGTGAGTCTGTGAGTCATTGTGTCTTCAGATCACAGGACTTTGGTGTGACTGGGGTTTATTATCCTGAGTTTGGACGGTGATCTCGGTGTTTTGTTGGTGATGCTGTTTTTCCCTTCAACCTGAGGCTAAGACATCAGCTGTGAATGTGGCTCAAGCCCGAGTGGATGGACATTCCTCTGTCTGCTGTTTTGCTTCCAGCCTGTGAGGTCACGAGGGTCACGTGATGTTTTTTTCCCAGCATGGAGCTGCTCGGGTGGGGATTTACTGTGTGTGTTGTGCTGAACTGGTTTCCAGTGCGTGTGTGGGAGCTCAGGGAGGATGAAGCTGACCTCTGAGGTGAGTGGATCACCTGCAAGGTGTGAGCGGTCAGTTTAGAGATTTTTAAGAGATCAGAAAATGTTTAAAAACGTATTTTTCTGTCATTAAATAAAAATCAGACTCTTTAATGGGCAGAACTGATCGTGTTTTCTGTAGAATTGATCTGGTTTGTTGTGGTTTTGGCGCGCAGATGAATGAAGTGTTTTTAAATTAAATTTGGCGCTCGTACAGTAATGTTTGTAATCTCATGGATGTGCTGCAGAGTATCATTTCAGTCATGTTTTTATCAGACCTCTCAGACCGCTTTCTGTTTTCATTGAGTTTTCTTTGTTGGCATTGTTTCTCCTTTTGATGTTCAGGCTAGAAATGGGAAGAAGAACAGATTACGTAGATCCCACGCCTTTGTTTTATTAGCTGTGCTGACTTTTTAAAAGGTAAATGGTGTTTTAATAGAAAAACCCTCGGACTCAGCAGCCGAACTTCTTAAAAGAACCAAGAAAAGTGAGCACATTACAGCCCTTCTAACGGTTCTGCTGTTTGGATTGATTTTTACAGTCTTATTGTTATATTTTGAAGCCCTGCACGGCCCCTGTAAAGGTACTCGACCTGCTGTTCTTGTTCCAACTGGTGTGCGACTTCTGATGTTTGCGAGAAGGGTTCGAGCTGTTAGGGCTTCTGGATTGTGGAACAACCTGCCTGAGGAAATGTGTGTCTTCTTTACAATCACTGCTAAAGACTCGGTTACGTCTTAAGACTTCATCTCTGACTGTACCGTTATCATTTTCAATGTTAAAGTTTACGGCAGTGCAAATACAAACAGAGTGAGCAAGTATGGCTGTTTGGAAGGTCTGCAGGAGGAAGCCTCTTCTCTCTAAAATACAAACAGCAGCACAGCGTAGCTCCACACTCCTGGAACAGACGAGACCACAGTGGAGATGTTCGTCCATCACGCACAGCAGCACGTCTGGAGGAAACAAACACCTCATACAGCCGTCAGCACGCTGGAGGAGGGACGATGATCTGAGTGGACCACGAGCCTGTAGAGTCAGTGTGAGGCCGTGTGTCCCACAGCTGAAGCTCGGACCAAACCGGGTCATCAACAGGACAAAGATCCCAGCACAGCAGCAGGTCTGCAACAGAACGACTGAAGAAGAGAAGAACGGAGCTGCTGCAGAGCTCAGAGAGCTGTGCATGAGTCTGAGACCCTTTTGCTTTTCTCTGGTGATCTGTGTTCTCTGGGTGAGGTGTAAGAGCTTCGCCTCAGGCCGAACACATCTGGCTGATTACACATCTGCCGCCTCAGTGAAGGAAATCACACTTTTATAACCTGTGGGAATTTTTAACTTTTCACTTGCAGAAATGTGAGACAGAAAATGGAGCGTGGTGGTTTTTACTTTCCTTATCAACACAACGACAATGATATACCAGCTAAATGCAGGCAAGGAGATGACCTGCTTTTTTGTGCATTGTTTCCACAAAACTCCGGTTGCAGCTCACTGATGTGTGGGGGAAAGTTGTTTATTATTGAATGCATGAACTGAGATAATCAGTTTAGTCCCAAACACATCATTCAGATCCTCACGCTGCAGACGCTACAAACAGGGAACGGCTTTTACTTCAGAACTGGACTAAAATGCCTGTTTATTGAACTAGCTGCTGATTACGTTTCAATCAGTCGGAACAACGAAAAAATAATCGGCTCTGTTACAGTTGGTGCATTCAGTGTTTTACCTTTGAAAGGTTTAGAAAATGTTCCACTTCTTTCAGTAAATCCAGATGCTGTAACAGCAGTTCTAATCAGACAAGCTTGACCAGTGTACACCTCTGACTGGTTCTTTTGAAGAATGGGAACAATTTTAGTTGACCCCAGTCTTTGGGTCATCGGTGTGAGTGATGCTGATATGCAATACTTCTGCATTTAGTACAATTTTGAAAACAGTTTGGTGATCAGTGGAAGTGTGCAGGGTTAAAGATCAGAAATTAGAGCCTCTTATTGCAGGGCAGCAGCCCGAGCAGAGAAGATCAGCCCCCCCAGCCACCTCCTCCACGCTCATCTAGGGCTTGTGTGTGTGAATGGGTGAATGTAGTCAGGCGTTCCCGGGAGAGCCAAGAGACATTATCTCTCCAGTGAGTCCTGGGTTTACCCCGCGGCCTCCTCCCAGTAGGACATGCCTGAAATACTTCACTCGGGAGGGATTCATCCTAGCCAGGTCCCCAAACCAGCTCAGCGGACTCCTTTCAAGGTGGAGGAGTAGTGGCTCTGCTCCGAGCTCCTCCTGGATAACTGAACTTCTCGCCCAGTCTCTAAGGAAGAGGCCTCAGAGACTGGGTCAGAAGCAGATAACTTTTAAACTCTTTGAAGCTGGAAGACCGCTCCAGCTTTACAGAAGCTTAAAAGAAGTTAGCTTTGATAGCATGTTTTTGTTTTGTTTTTTCAAAATAAAAGCGCTGTCACACCCAGGTTCAAAACGATGTGTCTTCTGTTGAAGGCATCTACAGTCCTGTAACACCTTCAGAGGACTCGTGGTTTACAGCTGCAGGTAGATGGAGTCAAAAGTTCAAACCACCTAACTGCTCACCTCTTTAGGCTCGGTGAATTGTAATTAGACATTAACGCTCTTATTTGCAGCATTAGTAACTACAGACTCGGGGAGATTTTTCCGAGGCCTCACATCCAGCCTGGCCAGGTTGGAGCCGGTGAAGCTTTGTCTGGATGGAGGATTATTAGATCAATCGTACGGAAATAAACCAGTTCAATAAGAATTGGATCAGCTGAGAGAGAAGCAGCCCTGGTTTCTTCAGATCCAGGCAGCACAGCTTCATACGTGACCGTGAGCGACTTCTGGGGGGCCTGAACACTGCAGATTGACAGAACGAGATGGGAACATAAGCCCCCACCCCACCCCCACCCACCCCCACCCACATTAGGCTGGAAACGAGATTGAAAGGGACTTCTTGTCCGGTGGCCTCAAAGACCATAAATGAGCTTGTTTTCAGGTCTTGTCCTAAGATTCAAATTTGGAGGCATTAAGGAATCATGAGATCTTTTGTCGTTGTTGTTGTTGTTGTTGCTTGGCTTTTCTCAAACATCAATGAGCAGTATTGCCACATGCTATCGACAGGAAACCAGCAGCTGCTCTCAGAGAGGCTGATGTGGAAGATTTATTCTCTACAATTATTTATAATCCCCAGAAGATGAGTCCTGACAGGGCTGCACCCCACAGTCCTCTCCCCACGAAGGGTTTAACTGGTCACATACTTATAAAAGTCCTTGACACGTACTTGGTTGATAATTAAGGTCTTTCCTCCCATCATCCTCCTGTCCCGTCTGCAGGATCCAGACCTCCAGCTCCTTATGGCTGTATATGATGAGAACATCCTGAAGAATCCTTTCTACCTGGCCTTGGAGAAGCAGAGACCCGACCTTTGCAGCCAAGTGGCAGAGCTCCACGGCATCGTGAGTTTGACCCGTCATCTCATTTATGTCACCAGACAAGCCCACCTGCATGTATGTGAGGATCAGGTACCGGATCACGATATCAGACGGCGATTAATCAGAGAGCGCTCTGTCTGGGTGTCACATGGCTGTGAGTCTGCGGCGTCTATTCACTTAGATGATCAATGTTTTTTAAAAATGGGTGGAAAATGCTTCAGACTGAGCAGATGTGATTAAATGTAACGGTAGGTAGGGCTGTTCGATATAACGATATATATCTGATGACGATATAAAAACGTCTGTCGTTTGTTTCGTGGTGTCGCAAAATAAACTGTTACAGCAATATTTGTTCATGCTTTGATCACTGCAGTGGCTGTATTCATTTCTTAAAGTTCTCTCTTTCATTTACATGTAATATAACCACACTACGGACGGACAAGCGCCTGTTTTTATGCGTTGTTGTTAGCAACAACGACGGTAACGCCATCGCGTGTCCGCTTGTTTATGTTCCACATAAACCTTTCACAATAAACCTCAGGATCCTGTTGAGACTTTTCAAAATAAACTGAATCACGTGAAAGAGCAGAGTGTTTACAGATGAGAAGTTAAAAAAGACGCCAGGTGCTAAAAAATAAAGCTTAGACTCAGACGTTAGAGCAGGCTTCTCCCCGCAGCACGCCGTGTGATAAATACTAACAAAGAAACGGCGCCGTTACAACTTATGTCTAAAAATGTGTCGTTTCATGCATCGGTTAAAACACTCGACTCAGCTACACGACGCCCAGCTGGGAACACTTCACGCAGGTCGAGCTGCCCGAGATTCACAGACTTTACAGAAAATGTTACATTTTTGATTTATATCGTTACCGGGACGACAGATGTCTGATATCGGGATATGAGATTGTGGTCATATCGCGCAGCCCTGATAGTAGGAATTGTGAATGGAGGGAACAAGCAGAAGAATTGAGCTTCGGTGACAGGGTGAGGAGCTCAGGTCCATCTGACCCGGCTGCCTCACGGAGGAAGTGATGTCAGGCGTGAGGCCGCGAGGCAGATCCAGCACACGCCAGAGAGACGGCGCTGCTCGTCTGTTAGGAACACATCAGTGTGCAGCTGGAGACCCTCGTGTTGCTTCGTCTGCAGGTGGCTGGGGGTCTGAGCGTCTGTCTCTGCTCAGGAAGGTTTGCACTAATAAACAACAGGGGTGAAAATGAGGAAACGGCACAGAGCTCAAAATAACTGCAGCAGAACCTGAATAAGTCCAGGTGTGAGCCGGCTGCAGAGCTCTGCCAGTTTCTATCACAGAACAGCTTCTCGCTTCCTCCTCAGTGGTTGAAGGCTGCGCCTACAAACAGCTGAGAATCACACCAGCCCCTTAAAGCAGGTTAAAGATCAGAGTCGGGGACGTTATCTCTGTTACAATGTTTGAGGTAAAAGAAGCGCGCTCAGCCGGGGTTTCAAACACAGCGACACCTTTACACCACTTCCTGCCTCACGGTGGGTCAGCGTGGGGTTTCTGGTGGTTTCAACGCGCTCTGCTGCCATCCCTTCACTCTCAGTTAGTTAGAGGAGCATTGTTTTGGTCGGACTGTTAAAGCGGGGTTGATACATTTCATTTGGCTGTCAGTGAAGCGCAGAGATATCAGATGAGCTGACAAGCTGCAAAGCGGCGCTCTAAACCTCGTTTGAGCTTGTTAAAGATGACGATCGGACGCCTGGAGCAGCAGATGAGAATCAGATGTCTGAACGCCGGCCAGTCGGGTCATCTGCACGCCGTCAAAACATCAGTGGGGAAAAAAAAATGCGTGTAAGTGCATTAAAGCTGCAGTTCGCAGCAGAGGCGGAAAAATCAGTTCTACATGGCACAGCGTGCACATGCTGTGCATACGTCAGGGCTTCAGCAGCTGCTCTGGCTCGTGACTGCGTCTTCAGATCCTTAATCAAATGCTGCCGATCAGGTCATGTGCTTTTATTGACTTCATGTGAACATCTTAAAAACAAATGACGGCTGTTTAATGTCAGTGTTTCTGCGCTATTTTCAGACCATCGGACACTCGAATGTGCAGAGAAACACTGTGGAGCCTCGGCTCTGTATTTTAATACTCCCACCACACACCGAAGTGCCGTATACTTCACGATAAACATCTACTATTTTAAAAGCGTGAGTGAGTTAGAGGCCAGGAGCCATCTCAGTGCTGTTCATCATCTAACCGCAGTTAATACAGTGAAGATTCCACTCTTTGTACCATTTGATCCTATTTTCTGCTTCCTAACACAGATCAGACCTTATCTGATTGTCGTTGGTGTGGAAAGGTCACTCTAAATCTGTGCTGAGTGCTTAATAAATGGAATACCCTGCGTGTCGCCTTGAACCTGCAGGTTCTGGTGCCGTGCTGTGGAAGTTTGACCCTCAGCAGCTACTCGGACTCTCACTTCGACAGCTATGTGCTGCAGCCCGTGGAGGACGGTTATAAGACTGCGGACGGGAAGGTCTGTCTTCAACACAAGCCAGTCTGTGCTGCTCGTTGTTGCCAGAGGCTGAGTTTAAACGCACCGCTGTCCTACTTTTACAGTCCTAAAAATACAAAAAGAGGCTGTTTAACAGCTTTTTACCTCTGTGTGTGTTACAGGAGGTCCGGATCCAGGACAGGCAGGTCCTGCTGGGATCCGGGTTCCCGGCTCCAGTGTCGATCCCCATCCTGTTCGAGGAGACCTTCTACAACGACCGGGAGCAAAGCTACAGCATCCTGTGCGTCTCCAGGCCCATGGAGGTGGACCCGAGCCTGTCCGAGGTCAGCACGCCGTCTTCTTACAGCCTGAGGAGCCTGGAGGACGTCAGGGAGTTCCTGGGCCGCCACGCCCAGAAGATGGACAAGCACATCCAGAGCTTCTGTCAGGCCTTCAGGGAGCAGGAGAGGAAGGGACTCCGGCACCACATAGTAGGGATGACAGACACAAAACACAACCCTGGTGATAAACGGACTAGAGTGACAAACGGGGGGCTGAAGGAAACGGAGCTCTGGGCGTGTCTGACCTAAAATGGCACGCCTCACAGGTTTCGTCATTCTTTTACCACAGACAGGTTTGCGCTCCCATGACTCAGATAAGGCTGAAATACTGGTGCAATCACAAGGTTTTTCCAGCTGGTTGGGTAATCCGTGTTAGTGTCTGGTGGTTAGCAGGGCCACCGACTGATTTGAGCGATGGTTTCCCAGCAGCTACCATCGGTCTCCAGCGTCACTCACAGCTGGTTGGAAATCCTCCCTGTGGTTGCAGATGGTTGCAGACTCGTCTCAAGGCCTGTTATTGGCAGACAAGTTGATGTCACATGTCTACAGAACTTGTCATTGTACAGCTGCAGCTATCGCCCCCCAGTGGCCATCAAAAAGAGTGCGGGTTTAAGGCTCCTCCAGCTAGCTTCACTTTGATTTAATACATGACAACAATGCAAACAACACCTCCAGGAGAGCGTGCATCTTTTTAGCGTTAATGTGTTTGAATGTTTTCGAGTCTTTAGGGGATTTTTGCGTTCGATGTTTTTCTTTCCTGCTGAGCTAACAGCTGTTCTGTTTCCTGTCAGGACTCGGTGAACGGTCTTTACACTAAATGTCTTCAGTGTCTGCTGAGAGACTCTCACCTGGTGAGTAGAAACAATCTTTATTTGTCACGTTAAAACTGGCTGAATGAAAATCCGCCTTTCTCTCCTTGATTTGGAGAATATTTATTTCTGGCTTCTTCACCTGGGGCCAATATTCACTCTTCTATGTCTTTATTATTCGCGTGCTTCTCTGGTTTGCATGGTGGCTCGGTGCGTTCACGGTTATTTGTGTGATTATCTGACTTTGTTTCGTTTGTCCCTCGATGCACGATGTCATCAAAGGCGTGAGAAACGTGGTCGAGTAACACGGCCGTGCTTTTTGAGCATGTGACTGTTAAAGCTCTCCGTGTCTCCGCTTCGTTTCTTTTTAATAAAACTGTGAGCTTGTGTTTGAGAGCCGATTCTGCCGGAGGGAAGAGCAGCTGATGGAAAGTGCTGATTACTCACTGAGAGGCTGCTGTTTTAGTTTAACAGCGATCCAGTCCGCTGTGAGCCTGAGCTGGATAAGAGATTTGCACCATACAAAGGACGAGCAGTCCAGTCGGTCAGGATGTTGAATCTGTGGCACCAACTACAGAGGTTTTAGCAAAATCACCTGTATTAAAAGGATTCTTATTCAAATCTCTAAAATAACATAAAAATTGGGAGAAAATGCAGATTTCTGTCACTCATTGTTTCTGCTGTGTGCAAACTTGGTGATTCCCTCACAACGTCCTGTGTTAAGGCAGGAAAACTTTGTCGGAATAATCCCCCAGAACTGAACTTCCCATGAACTCAGACAAGCAGCAGGTCTGAGGGTGCTTCCTGCACCACCTGCTGCTCGCTGACGTGAGTATTTCAATACTCTGCAGGCACAGATGCTCAGCAGTGTGCTGTGAACAATCATGACAGTCCAACATGCTTTTTACTGCAGAAGAAGCTCATGTGAGCGTTGCATGTAAGCGGGGCCGTACTGAGTCGGCAGCTGTAGTTCAGAAAAGTCCCGCTTTCGTTGATTCAGGCATCTGTGACCTCGGTGCAGTCGCTTCCCTCTTTGTGGGAAATGAAACGAAACAGCACGTAAACCAGAGGAAGCATTCTGGTGAAACATCATCGTTGGTCGTTAATGCTTCGTTAGATCAACCTCGTTGTAAAATGTTGTGTTAATGCGGCCACGTTACGTTCTGTTGGCTTTGCACACGTGAGCGTTTTGCTGCTGTCATGTGGGGAGGAATCGTTTCCTCCGGTTCGGAAAAAAAGGATCGAACCCCAAACAGTGTCATGTGACCGCCGTAACTAATGCTTCAAATCAGCTTCCTTTAATCAGCGTGACCTCTGACCCGACGCACACACGCAGGATGCTGCGAGTTCCTCTGGACTGGATGATTCGATGATATGTGGCCGCGGCGTCTGCGACTCAGCAGTTTTGGGCCTGATCACATCCTCTAACGCCTTCCTCTTCCCCTGCATGCTTTGTGTTTTCTGCAGAAACTTCTGGCAAAGCAGGAGCTTCAGATGACGCTCCTCAAACAGGCTGTGGAGGTAACGTCTCTGGGTTCAGTGAAGGAGAAAGGTTGACACGTAGACGCAAGTTTAAGTTTGCAAGAAAGATTTCATCAAACACATGCAGAAGCTCCCACAGCTGTCACACGTAACTTCCTGCTTCATGCCAGTGAAACTGTAAAGGAATCGATTAATAAGCTGAATAACTCAATAAGATATTTACAAAAAATAAGACGGCGCTCAATGTGGGCAAAGCTACATGTGACAGAAGCAGCTTAATAATCCAAACATGCAGCTATTTTGGTGCGAGGTGAGAAACTTGAGCTGTTCCTGACACGTATTAAAATATTGGTTTTCCTCTTCTTTTCCCAGATGTACGTTCATCATGGTATCCATGAATTAATCTTTAACTTTGTGGGAACGCTTGAGGCCAGCCAGGTAGGTCTGAGCTCAGATTTCCTCATTAGACGTAACGAGGGAGCGAATAAACCGTCTGTTCGTCCGCTTTCTTCCACCACCAGATCCTGAGTGATCTGCTCACGTGCCTCCTGCATACACACACATCCCTGTGGTGTTTTTGCTGCGCGCTGCTGCAGATATAATGTCAAACACGCAGCCTGCAGGGATCACTTGTCTTTGCAGAGGGATCGTTGTTTCAGTGATGGAAGCCTTAATATTTCTCCTTCTTGCTCTTTATTACTGTGATGACCCCAAAAAGAGGCTTTGACAGTTTCAAAAGTTCCTCTCCCGTCTCTTGTGCTGCCGGTCGACAGGACGCTGCCTTCAACAAAACCACCAGGAGTCTGCAGGAGCTGCAGCAGAAAGAGCTGGGAGTCAAACCCGAGTTCAGGTCAGTTCCACACCGGAGCGGACTTTGAGACCCAGACCTCTGCAGCGTCAAATCTGGTTCTGCTGACAGGTTTAACCAGCGCTTGCTGTTCTGAACACGTTACAGACGATGTTTAAATGTGCAAAATGCCTTCAACGTTTACACGGACCCAGTTAAGGCGACCTGATCGTGGCAGCGTTCCAGCAGCTTACATAGACAAAGACGATACGTGTTCATGGTTTATGAAGTCAAATTTTATTTCAGACTTGTTTTTAAATACGTCCTGGTCAGTCTGACCCGAGGGACAGCTCAGGGTCCCAACAGTGGAGACCATCCAAGGGTTACTGGTGAAATAGAGCGATCATGAAGACTTGCGTCATGTTTCATTGCACCATGTGATTGGTTCTGTCTCTGTTTTGTAAATTGAATCTGTTGTTTAGCTGTGTGCCTCCTTCCTTTAGCCCGAGCCACTGAAGCTTTGTGAATGTGTCCGTTCGATGTCTCTGACCCATCGTCTGTCCCCCGTTCTTCTGTCTCTGCAGCATAAACTTGTCTCGGGCTAAAAGAGAGCTGAGCCAGCTCAACCAGCAGACGTCCCCCCTCCTCAAACTGCTCTGCCTGCGTAGAGTCGCGCTGACCGCCACCCAGACCCCGAGACGCACCGGTACTTACTCTGTTGGTTTGTGTGTGCGGAGCTAAAACGAGTGTGTGAGCTCATCGACCTCCTTTGTAGGAGAAGCAGTTTAAATGTGTGTGTGGAGCTTCAGCGCTCGCTTTAATGGAAGTATGTCACAGCTCGCCATGAGCGGGTCCCTTGCAGCCTCAGATTTGCAACACATTGGAACCAGTTCTAGTCAGTCTGCAGCTGGTCTGTGGTGCACCACATACTGCATGCCAAAGCACCCTCGAGCAAGACGCTGAACCCCGAGTTTCCTCAGGTGGATTCATGGATGTTGGGTCGTGCACAGGTGTGGATGAGGCTTGCAGTACAAAGTAATTTGTCACAGACACAGAGGTTGCAAGTCCATTGGCATTAATCCATCCATTTATTCATTCGCTTCCGCCTATCCTTTTCAGGGTCGCGGGGGCGCTGGAGCCTATCCCAGCTGTCATAGGGCGAGAAGCGGGGTACACCCTGGACAGGTCGCCAGTCTGTCGCAGGGCCAACACACAGGGACAGACAACCATTCACACTCACATTCACACCTAGTGGCAATTTGGATTAATCAATTAACCTATCCCCACAAGCTGCATGTCTTTGGACGGTGGGAGGAAGCCGGAGTACCTGGAGGGAACCCACGCAAACACGGGGAGAACATGCAAACTCCACACAGAAAGATCCCGGCCTGATGGTGGAATTGAACTCAGGACCTTCTTGCTGCGAGGCAACAGTGCTAACCACCGTGTTGCCATTAATCCATATTATTGATAATATTAACGTAATATTTGCGATCATGTCGTAGTTTCCATCCTTGGGCTGTGCTGCAAAAACACAAAGTCTGAGAGCTTGGGAGGCCTGCACTGTTTTCAGCTGTTTCGGTGACACCAGGGGCGACCCAGTGTTAGCCAGCTGATTTAAATGCGGTGCAGATCTAATCGAATTTAACGTCAAATTAAACTTCAGTTTATGTCATTTGGACACGTTTGTAGAAAAAGTCCCAAACAGGACAAAAAAACCCTGTAAATATCTAATAGTTTTCAATTGGATCACTCTGAGAAAATCACATTAGATCCAGGAGTCTGACAAATGAGACCATTCCTTTATTTTCTCGCGGTGACATAAGAGAAACCACCTTATTAAACGTGTAATGCAGGGAAATGCGGGACTCATCAGAGAGCGGCTGTGCGACTCTTGTGTTTCCCTAAAGAAAAGGACAGTACCGACTCTGTGAGCTTCCATTTGTGCAGTTTGCTTTGGTAATCCAAGCTTATTGGATCACGGCAACAACCCCGCTGTCAGCCTGCAGCGCCGAGCTGACGAGAGGCCAGTTTACTCATTAGTGCTGAGCTGAGGGAGAGATGAACGGGAAGAATGACTCTTCAGTTTCCACTCACTGACTGTGTGTCTCCCTCCACAGTGAGCATAGAAGCCGTGAGCGCCGACGACCTGCTGTCTGTCGTCCTCTATCTGCTGGTGAAGACGGAAATCCCCAACTGGTGAGCGAAAGGGGAACTGCCTGCGACCTTTGACCTTCTGTCGTGAATAAAATGCAGAGAAATGAGGAAGAAATGAGGCAGTGAAAACAAAAAGACGACTCACAGTTTTACAGTTTTGGGTCAAAGGGATGGTATCGCAGCCCTGCTCGATTCTGCAGGTCTCGCATGTGGGCGTGGCTAAACTATAACACTGGCTTCACCCACATTTGTGAAATTTGGAACCATCGGACCAAAAATTCAGTTTTTTAAACTTAACATCTCATTTTGGCAGCGTCTGTGTCCGTTTCATTTATATTTTTAGGTTTTCTGGGTCACACTTTCCTCTTGGAGGTTAAATCAGATGCTTTTGAGCTTTCGATAACGGGCGTGTCCACGATGCCACGGTACAAAAAGTTGCTATAATTGGAATTTATATTTTCTAATGTGCCGCAAACTTCACAACCTGGAGACATTTTAATATTAAAAACATCTCGAGCGGTTCCTGTGTTTGTTCTGCAGCAGAACCTGCTCAGCCTGAACTCTGCAGCGCCCCCTATGAGGCAGGAGGTGAAGTTTTTGCGTTTACTGCACTGTGCAGCTGAGGACACGGACCGGTGGCCTCCAATAGTGACTTTAACAATCAATGTTAATGTTTTATGATCAAATGCATCATTTTTATTGCAATATTTGATTACTTTATTGAATTCATAATGTTTGTTGACTGTAAACTGTCCACAGCGCGTGATTTTTCCTCTATGAATAAGCACAATTAATCTTCCAGTGAAAGGCAGCCTAACTGGAGGCTGCTGAGGATGATCTATAGTTATGAAACATCATTTGGGTTAATAAGATGTAGCTTGGTGATCTAATTTGTCTTATCTTCAGGATGGCCAACCTGAGCTACATCAGGAACTTCTGCTTCAGCCACTCGAGTAAAGATGAGCTCAGCTACTGTCTGAGCACCTTCGAGGCGGCGGTGGAGTACATCAACCTGGGGAAGCTGCAGAACTCTGTGAGACACAAACACACTGCTGTCGTATCTCAGCAGCTGCTTCACTGTGCTGGAGATCATCCATGTGTTTTCTCCTGTTTTTGCCTCCTTCCTCAGGGCTCTGGTGAGCTCAGCGACAAGGCGCTGTTCAAGGAGAGGATGAGTCTGCTGACTCAGGGTGTAGCCACGCCCATTAATTGTCTGTTTGAGGTGAGCTGCAGCCAGAGACGTTAGCAGATGTCCCATAAAAGATCAGCATGATGTCTAAAACTGCTCCTACATGATGTGTATTTGTTTTTTTTGTACAGTGGGATGTAAAAGCTTCTCCTGATGCTGTGAATGTTTTTACAGATCCTTCGAGGTCCAATTCAGTTTGAAGGAGAAGGAATTTAAGAGAGTGAAATAAAAACTGTTATTTAGCACTTAAAATCTTCAGCTCTGTTCCCTCTGTTGGCATTTCTTCTGTTTATGTTCATTATGTTTCCTGGTGTTTTCCAGGCCATGAAAGTGATTTAAATGTGTAGTAACTATTTTTGGGGGTTATTTTTATATTGTACATAGATCAGAGTAATTACGTCTTCCAAGAAGCTGATACATTCAGATAAACTTATAATTAATCTGTTAAAAATACATAGGAGTGGGTTTGTGGAAGCCGTCATATCCCCTCACCATATTTGAGTACAGTGGCCAGGAAGGACACCCCTCCCCCTTCTAACACCTGAATACAAGCTAACGTATCAGATTGTTAGCTTGAGGGTCCTAAGAAAAACCCACTTTTCCTCAGATAAACAGTATGATTACATTCTCACATGATATGAAAGTTTATTCACTAAGTGTCAGTTACATCCACTTTATAGAAACTTTTGCTGACAGCAGCAAAAACACAATAGCTAACACCAGCAAAAAAACAGGCTAACAGCCGCTAACGGAGGCTAACAGCAGAAAAACGTAGCAGCTAACGGAGGCTAACAGCAGCAAAAACACAATAGCTAACAGCAGCAAAAACACAGCAGCTAACAGAGGCTAACAGCAGAAAAACGTAGCAGCTAACGGAGGCTAACAGCAGCAAAAACACAGCAGCTAACAGAGGCTAACAGCAGCAAAAACACAATAGCTAACAGCAGCAAAAACACAGCAGCTAACAGAGGTTAACAGCAGCAAAAACACAGCAGCTAACAGAGGCTAACAGCAGCAAAAACAATAGCTAACAGCAGCAAAAAAAATAGTCTAACAGCTGCTAACGGAGGCTAACAGCAGCAAAAACACAGCAGCTAACAGAGGCTAACAGCAGCTTACCAACAGAAAGGTTTACCTCAGTAACACTGTCAGCAGTCAAAAGTGACTCCTGACTCCTCCAGAGTAAATAAAAGTGGACACTTCTCACCCAGCATTGACAGCTGAGGTAAACAGCAGACAGATGTGGAAAACCCCTGGGTTGCATCTGGATGGATCCGCTCCCCAAACAGTGATAGCAACACGCTCGCTGGCTACGGCTGTTATGGGGTGCGCTCTGAAAGTCTGAATTTAATGTTTTTGATCTCTCTTGGCTAACATGTTTATCCTATACCCTCCACTATACCGAAGAACACTCATTTGACGGCAATCTACAGTCTTCTGACATCTAGTGGCGAGATTTTGCTAATGCTCAGTTTGCTCCTGTGTGTTTTGTAGCACATAGCAAATGGAAATGAAGAGGAGGTTGAACGCCTGCTGAGTGATGGAGAGGCCGATGAAGATGTGAAGATGTGTCATCCTCTCTGCTCCTGTGACCTCTGTGACCTCCAGCTGTCCGGGTCAGTGTCCAAACTCACACAGACAAACACGCAGAGGTACAGAGAGTACGTCAAAGCATTCACATGAAAATAACGAAGAATAAAGAAGAGTAAAGGCTAGGGATGGGTACCGGTGTCCGGTGCCATGATGGCACCGGTTCTGACATAAACGG